TTTATTAAATAAATATATTTTTTAATATTAAATAAAAAGTATTTTAGAAGTTTCAAGTCTTGAAAATAATTGAATATGTAAGTATATATATATTCATTTAGATTATATAACCTAAATTAATATTAATATGATAAACTGATTTTAAAACAAGTAATTGAGTTAACTATTAATATATATTATTTGTTATTTATTATTGATAAATAGTATATTATGATAATAATTGATATATTATTATATATTAATAAATAATATATTAACAATGATTAATAATTATTAATATAGATATTTATTAAAAATTATTGAAGTCATCAATTAATATTAATATTTCAGAGAGATATTTATTGATTTTTATAGATATGACAATAATTCTTGATAAATATCTCTCCAAAAAATTTTCTGATGAATTACTATATATATCTATATTATTAATTTAGATAATTAATATTTTTAATTAGATTTCTTTTAATTATTCTTTTATTTTCTTACTTGTTCTTATTTATTATTATTTATATTATTATTTATCATATTTATAATCATTAAAATTATGATTAATTACCTTCTAGAGATGCAAATTAAGCTAATTAATTCTGTTCAACCCATATGTATTTTTAAATAGATTATTATTAATTTATTCATATTATTTTTTATAAATAAGATCTCTTTATTTTATAAATTAACTTTAGATCTGAATACTTTTAAATAATAAAAATAATCATAAGTTATAAAATTAAAATTGTTCATATTGCATTTTATTTTGTTTACAATCATTAACAAAATAATCTTATAATAATAAAAATTTTTGCATTTAAATAAATTCCAATATCTAATAACTTAATTAAATAAGACAGAATTAAAATTTTATTTTGAAAAAATAATTTATTAATATTTATCTGAGATACAAATCTTTTTGTACCAATTCATATAAATTTTTTTATACTAATCTATTAAATTATTATAATATAAATTTTACTAATTAATTATTTCAGTACTTTATTTAATTATTACATTTATAATATTTAATCATATTTTATATTTATCTATTTATTTATATTTTATATTTTATATATATAATTAGTTAATAATATTTTAGATTATAAATAATAAAATTAATAAAAAAAATAGTAAAATAATAAAATAATAATAAAAAATCTTTAGAATATTAAATATAATAACTTAGAATTTTATATAAATATAACTTGTATGAATTCAAAGAAAATATATTTTAATAACAATATTAAAAATAAATAATAAATATAATTATATTTTAACTTATAATTTATATAATTAAAAAATTTGAATATGATTTTGAATTTAGTTTGAGATTGATTTCAAGTTTAATAATACAATTATTTAGAATTATAATTTTATTATAAGTATAAAATTATTCAAAATTGTAACTTTAATTAGAAAAAACTAAAATATTTAAATATTTTATTATGGCTTATCTAGATCGAACACAATAAACCTTTGAGAAGATCATTCAACAACTTTTGTTAGATGTGAAATCTCGCGTAATATTCTGGTGTCATCTTTTTGCCTAGAAAATAATAAAATGACTCATCAAATATATGTGACACAATAAATTAGGTTAAATTTAGATGTTATAGGTTATAAATAGTCCTTGGTGTGATAAATTTTTACCTTCGAAAGAAACAAATAAAATGTCAACTGCACGAACAAATCGTATTTTATGGTCACCACATCCTGGAGTCAATAGATTCTTGATAGGCTCAAATTCAAATGACTTGAAACTATACGAGTACAAGCCAAAGGTTAGATAGAATTCCGGGAACTTGAATATTTAAGCATATTATTCGGTTTTTCTTCATATCAATAATAAATAAGAATAGGGACATGATGGAAACCCAGTTATAAAAATGATTGCTGTAAAGTCAGATCTGTTAATGAAGGTAGGATGGAAGAATCAATCGCGTTGGAAGTTATATTTCTTTATCGATATTTTTCAACCTATCCATCTATCTTATGTATCAACGTAAATAGTGTTTTACATGGTCGCCCGATCCAAATTTTCAAAATTTAATCGCAGTAGGTCAAACAAGTGGAAAAACACTTCTTATAAATATGATTGATGACAGCACATTCATGGAAAACAACAACTCGTCATCATCCAACTTTATCAAATCGCAAACTACCACGGCAACATCACAAAGCGGGTATTTACCAGGGCAATCAATAGCACAATTTCAATTCAACGTGCGATACACGCGAGCTTGTAACGTCGTGAGATTTTGTGAGACAGAACCTCGACTACTGGCAAGTGGGCTCGAGAAAGTTCGAAATGATTGCTCGTTATTGATTTGGGATGTTGAACAAGCGACCAAAGTGTCATCATCAAATCCGCCGGTTGGCGATTATAGCAAAAGACAATATAGTGGGTCAAAACTATCGCCTGATCAGCCGATAAGTAGGACTGGTAGCATTAGTGGGTGGAGTGATCGAAGTGCTATCGATATCGGTATAGTTGGTGTCAATGGTGGCGTTGGGTATAATAATCGAAATATACCAATTATTAGCGATGAATTTTCACTCACGCCTGGTAATTTTTGCTTATTATTCTATTCTTAATTTCTTTTTATTTACGATCATATTATTGCTGATTTATTATCTACAAAAATTAGTATTAAAATTTTTAATATAAATCTCAACTTCCGATACTAAGAAAAAAAATGGAAGAAATAACCATTTGAATTGGTTATACATATATAATTATATTCCTTAGAATCCGCCGCGAGATTTAATCATACATTTCAAGAGACGCAAGTATTTTCTAGGCCTTTACCTATTGTTTCCACTTTATCTTCATCAGCGCCAAGGTGATTTATCTATTTCTATTACGTGAATTAATTACATCTGTATTCATTATATCGCTATTTCTTGAAATTTTTAAGTTTACCACGAGTAGATGATGTAAAGCCTCTTAATTCATATGGCAACAACGAAGCTGTTAATTCATGTGCATGGTTTCCGACAGCTTCACGACGATTGGTGGCCGGAATGGCCGGAAAGTATCTTCGAATTTATGATTTAAGAGGTGAGCAAAAAAAGGTTCTATATTGCTGCTCTTTATATTTTCAGTATTATTTCATAGATTACTTAATGTTAATTTATTTTAAAGCGGAATCGTCAACTCATATTAGTGCAGTAACAACTAAAGCAGTTTACGGTGTCAAAATTGACACATTTAATGTGAATCGTTTCGCTTCTTTCGAAGAAGCAGGAACTGTTCATTTATGGGATGATCGAAAAATCACCGAACCTATATCCTTTTTCGGTTCTTTATAATAGCAATCTAATAAAAATAACTAATTTAATTCAAAGGATTTTCTTTAACGCGTGTAATTATCAAATATTACGTCCTAAGTATCATAACAGAATCAAGACCTCTCCGAATCTTATTCTCACCCAAACGTGCAGGATTACTCGCGGTCTTGGAAAAAGATTCGCCGCATTTAACCTTGTACGATATCCAAGAAAGCAGCAGCAAATATTTATTCTCGTCGCCAAATCCATCACAACGCGCATTTTCTTCGATGAACCCAGAATTGGCAGCGTCTTCAATGTTACCAACAACATTATCAAGACAACCATCCATGACAATGAGTGGTTATGCACCATCTTCAATGATAAGCGGTATCTCGATGCTAGGTGAAAGGGGTGGAAATAATAGCAATAATGTTAATAACAAAAATAATACACTGACATATAATCAATCATTATCACTTGAAAATTCCGAAGATGTTGATGTGCCGATTCTTTGGAAGTCTAGAAAAAGTACTGATTTATCTTTTTATTGTTTTATTTAAGTAATCAAAAATAAAAATTTTTATGAATCAATTTTACCCATAGTCAAAGGATCGAAACCAATCACGTCATTTACTTGGATACCGACAACATCCACGGCTTCTTCACATCGAATTTTAACCATAAACAAAGATGGAATTATTGAAACCATGAAACGTGAAGAAAGCTTAAAAATATCATGGGACCCACGCGGCAACATGGTACTTGCTAGTGGAAAGCACATTAAAATATTTGACATCGAAACAAAAATGGATCATAATGATTACGAAGAAGATGAGGCGGAAGAGATCGAAATAAGAAAAACTGAGACTCACCATACACCGGAACATTCCATTCTCAATGGTAGAAATAATAGCCTCTATCAAACACCTATTATAACCACTACAGGCCCAAATATGTACAGCCCAAAAAGAACAATGACAAGTGCACAACAATTTCAATCTCCTTCTTTCCTTAGTATTCAACATGATATTGAAACTGAAAGTGGAAATAGGACTCCGAGACCTGGTGATATTACTGCGAAAGATGCCAGTTTATTAGGAAAACGATTGAATATCATGGCATTAGATCTACAGCATAAAACGGTTTATGAGGAAAGGACTTACGACGTAATTGATAGTCGACATCACGACGATTGGTCACCTTGGGATTTAATGAGAAATGATATTTCGGCGATAATGCGTGAGCGTGCATCACAAGATTATTCTATGGATGTAAAGAGATCTTCCTTTTTTGTTAAAGGATTAATTTTAGTGTATATGGTATAAACTGTTATACATTTATCAGTGTAGAACAAATGAAGATATCGTCCGAAATTCACCTAAATTAAGAGCGCTCTGGAATTGGATTTCTGGTAAGTTTTTTTTTTTTAAAAAATTTTTCATCATGAAAAATCCCGCTTAAAGCTTAGTGAATGCACTTACATAGAAGCACAATTACGCGTATTGGAAAACAACTCGCACGTCGGTACTATTGACCATAGTTATCATGGTATTCTCACCGTTTGGAAAGGTAATTATTCGAATGTTGTTACCATAATGGAAACCTTTTATCCTCCCCTCTAGAGATATTAATTAACTATTTATATGTCAACCTCTAAGTTAATCAATCACGGTTCTTGTTCGATCAGTCTGATGTAATTAGTGTCGGTAACAGTAAAAACAGCAACAGTAGTAACAATAACAGCAATAGTAGTATTTCACCTCAAATATTTGACCCTAACGAAATTCCGTTTGTGCAAACATCCAAACCTGGGCAACGCAAATTGGCACTGGCTATTTGCGGATGGGGTTTTGGCAAAAAAGAATTAGAGGAGGCGATAGTAAAGTGAGTAAGATCACGAATTATCATTTTTCCTGTATAAAACAAATAAAGAATTAATTATGTATTTGGTTTTTTTTGGTGATTATAGAATGGAACATTCCAAAGAATTCGAAAAAGCCGCCGGATGGGCCCTTTTTCATGGGTGTACAGAAAGAGCAATCAAAGCTTTAAATAATAGTCGAGGTGATTTAATTTCATTTCAAAATTGATTCAGATTATTTTTGTTTTACGTAAAGTGGTATAAACCCGTGTTTTATATTAATTATTATAAAAAAGATGAGAAATTGAAATTAGTATCAACAGCACTAGCCGGATACGCTATTCACAACCAAGACGAGTCTTATCAATCAAATCCCCTATGGCGTGACATGTGTCGTAACCTAAGTCTTGAAATGCGAGAACCCTATCTACGAGCAATGTTTTCGTATATTGCATCTGGTCATTGGTTGGATGTGCTGCAGGAGGAAGGATTGTCATTGAGAGATCGTCTTGGCATCGCATTGCGGTTCTTAAATGATAATCAGGTTAACTGTTTAATGTTATTATTAACGGGTAAACTTCCATCTTTTATTAATGATAATAATTTTTATTTTGTTATTTTCTTATATAGCTTGACGCATATATTAATGATACTACAAAAAAAGTTATATTGATGGGTGATATCGAAGGAGTTGTTTTGACTGGATTAACTCCAGAGGGTGTTAATCTTTTTGAACAGTATGTAAATAATACAGGAGATGTGCAGACAGCAAGTTTGGCGCTTAGTTTCTGCGTACCTCGGCGATTCAAGGATAATCGAGTAACACAATGGGTGAAGAGGTAAATATTACAATGGTTTTTTTAATCCTAAAATTTGACAGTTTTTTCACTTTATTACATTATTTTCTGTTGACATTCGTTAAAAGTTATCGCCAGCTCCTCGACCAATGGGAAATGTTTCATCAACGTGCACGCTTCGATATCGAACGCGGCAAACATGTTAACCCGAATCGTTCAGCTGAAATAGTTTCCCCTCAAGTATCAGTACGATGTAATTTCTGCAATCATAGTGTCGCGCATGGTAGTTTTTCCCCGTCATCGTCATCCGTTGTGCGTCCTCTGTCGAAAGGAAAAGACGGGAAACAGAGACAGGGATTTCTTGCAAAGGTGTTTTTTTTATTTGTGATTTCTTTTCGGATTGATTGCTTTCTTTAATGTGCTGACTTTTTGATTATTATGGTTTTATTTACGAATATAAAAAAGTCTACTTGTTGCCCTGAATGTCGTAAACCACTTCCACGTTGTGCTATTTGTTTACTAAATCTTGGGACGCCAATTGATTCTCTACGTGAAACATCGTCAAATACGCCAACATTTGATGGTAAGTAAAAATTAATTGATCAAAAACGCGGAGGTTTTTCTTTTTTCTTTCCTCAACAATTTTCTCTTCAATTCTTATTTTTTAATTTTTATGTGATGAAGGAGCATCAGGTTTCGACCTATGGTTCACTTGGTGCCAAACATGTCGACATGGAGGCCACGCAATACATATTTCACAATGGTTCCAGAAACACAAGTTCTGCCCTGTTAGTGATTGTTCGTGTCAGTGTAATATGTAAAAATAGATGTATATATGTAAGATTATTTTGTTTTCTTTGTATGGATTTTATTTTTTTTTTTACTTCCTCCGATTTATTTTATGGATTTCTATGAAATATCAGCCCTATTTAATTTTTCTAATCCAAAAACTTCTGGATTTTACAATATATAATAAAGTTATATTCTCACTTAAAGTAGTTCTATAACACTGTTTAAAGCATTCTTCCTCTGTCAAATGAATAATTCACAGCATATTACTAGAAGAATGAACACAATTTTATCATCCGGATCTTTTTATAATTAGATAAATTTACACGCGTGGTTCAATCATTATAATTTCCTCGAGATAAATGTTTTTTTTCAATCATAATTATCAGATTTTCATATTTATTAATACTTAATAAGAGATTATTACTTATATAAAATGTATTTCACATAAGATAGATGATAATATTGAATAGTTATATACTTATCACTTCTTTCGCTAGAATACTTTGATAAATTAAAATAATTATATTATTTTTTTAAAATATCTCTTGTATCTTATTGACATTCTTTTATTCATGAAAAGAATTCAATAAAAAGAGTTCTGCATAGTTCAATGAAATCAATCATATAATTCTCATTTATCAGATTATTCACTATTTGAAAATAGATAAAAAATTATTAATATAGTGTGTAACAAAAAAAACTGGATATTTTAATTTTCTCCATATTTATTTAAATAATATAAAAATTTAAATATATATACTTGAGAGTATGATAAACAACTTTATTTAAGATTACTTGAACACTTAGCTTATTAAAATTTTTTATAATTTATATTTTTAAAATTAAGAATTTTTAATAACAAGAAAACTTAAATAAATTATTATAAATAAATTTGATTATTATTTTGCAAATTAATCTTAAGTAAACTTATTTACTA